TCATCCAGGCCTGGCCGGGTATCTTCAAATGGAGTGTATTCCTCTATGCTTCTTTTGTTCAAAGCTATGTCACAGACCGTGGTGCTTTGTCGGAGAGGCGTGCAGCTGCACGGCGCATCACACGCGAAACCATCGCAAGATCCTGGTGCGCACTCTCTCTTTCAGAGTCGGCGAAGAAGACAATGTTGGAGACACGGGGAGTTGTCGGGATTGCAGCAGAATTATGGATTTTCGAGGATACTCTGGACGACATCCAAGCCACTTCCTTTGCTGGCGGTCTCCCTTACAGAACAGTCCTATCGCAATTGCAATCCCTCTGGAGAAGCGGCGAGGAGGATGCTATGAAGCATATCATCTCTGTTACCAGAGGAGATCTCGTGGAAGTTGCTAAGACTCTACTCCGTCGCCTGAAGAAGGCCTTTAACTCTCCCGAATTCGTGTCCAATCACACAGATACCACTACCATCCTCACCTTTCTTGAACGCTTCTGCGATCATCCCGATCCCGAAGTTTGTAAAACCTTTCTCGAGAATGGGGCAATTGCGGTTTGTGTCAGACTCTTGACTCGTGTCGCTTCCATTCTAAATGCAAGAGGTGCTGATCTAAACGTGATATCAGATTCTGGTCATATGAGCGTCATGATCATTGGCTTTCGGTTTCTCGGGAGCGTCCTCGAGACTACAAGTGGAGCTCCTTGGGTACTTCAGGCGATAAAATCTGGTCTTCTCAGCGTCTTTGTGGAGTGTAGCCCCGCTTATGGCTACCTCACCGACGAAGCTATGGTCATAGTCTTCACTCCGCTCGGAAACATAATACCGAGGTACCTCGTTTATTCCGGTGTTGTCCAGGCCATGGACGCGGCATTCTTCAATCTAGAGAACACGGCACGGGTTCGATCTCTGCGACAGAGCAGGGCTTGGAGAACTTTCGAAGAACTTGCCCTTTGGACAGCTTGGCGGTTCAAAGTGATTGAACAGATTAAAAAGGCAAGCGATACCTCGTCAATATGCAGCAATCGTAAAGTAGGTTTTGTCTTTCCACCTGACGATAGCTAATCGCGATATATATTTCAGTGTCACAAGGTTGACGTGCGGAATAACTTTCGCAAATGTGGAAACTGCGGCGCAAGGTTGTATTGCTCAAAAGAATGCCAGGTTATAGACTGGAAAGAATTTGGTCATAAGCAGGGATGTACCAAGGCACTTAGAGCACGCATCGGTAAGTTCCAACAAGAAATATCTCGGTGGTACGACAGCTAACTTGAAAGCCGCAGTGCCGCGGGAAGACGGGGGACTATCCCGATATGACTATGGATATATGCAAAATCTCAACATCTATGAATCCCTTGCTAATCTACCGACCCTCATAGAGCTTGCTGCGACAAAGTACGCTGGCGTACCTCTCGATGATCTCATGATCGTCATTAATTACAACACCATTCCATTCGCAATTGATGTTCTCATCTATCGCGAATGGGCCAAGATAAACCCCGAGCTCTACAACCCTCCGCAAGACGAGCATCAGCCTCACCTGTATGCGGATGGCCATTCACTTGTAATTGGGTTCGCACCATGCGGGAAACGCCAGACCATGGTCGTCACACACATCCCTGGTGGGATTTGGTTTGTGGATGAAAAGTTAGATCGTTTACTCGGGGCTGGTGCTCCTGCTGATCTGACTGCACTGGTCCGTTGGAAGAGGATAGAAGCTGAGACCAGGAGAAAGGAGTACTCCTACTACCGGTGACGTAACGATTTGTATGCGCCTTTGGATTATATATGCTTCTACTCGCATAGTTTCTCTTCACGTAGTTTGCTGCTAGGTGCTCTTTATCATTGAACTTCGTATTTTTGGAGTTTTTCCCAAGTTTTACCGTTGAATTTTCCCAGTGTTTGAAGCAAGGTTTGAAGTTTAGCTTTCTCTTGCCTGTTTCTGCCAAAGAGCCTCCATCTCTGGTCAACCTGACGGTTTTCATCGACTACAACGATGTACCATACACGTACCGTCTCTTCGTTTATCCTTGCTAGTGCAACATCCCGACTTGTGGAGTTCATCCCGGCCGGGCCGCGGCGGTTGCAGTGGCAGCTGGCTTGTTTGGCTACAGCGACAGTAACAAATAACGATGGCTCGGTTGGAAGTCCAGTTCGACCTCGTCCCTAAACCCAAACTTTTTCTTATCCGAATTGTCCTCGATTTCTGAAGCTCAGAGCATGAATGAAAACCCTTACGATGCAGGATGGGCTCTCTAGTAAAGTAAGTTAAGATAGCGCAATCTCCAAGTTTAACGTGATTGACGTTTGCGACCCAAACTTTAGCCCTTGAACTTGCCTTGAACTCGCCCATGTTTGAGGTTTAACACCACGGCCGTGCACTGAAATTAGGACAATATGCCGATCGCTCTTGTTTCCACAGGATCTTGCCGCCCAGGTCAATTTCTGAGAGGCGATCGTGCTCATGATAATTTGCATGGGCGAGATTTTCAGCGCCTAAATTTCCGCTCTGCGGTAGGATTGGAAGGAGGGGTCTTTTGCTTGCTCGTGAGTCATTCATTTAGCTTTCTAATATCACAACTTATTCGATGCTTCTAGATCGGAATAAAATTTTCGATAGCCAGTGATTCGTCGTGCTCTGATATTGATATCTGAGCTGGGTTGTGGGCGTGTCCCATGGATCTCCAAAATGGTTATGAAACCGTCCGACGCGCCAGTCCGGCACCCCCTTCCAGTAGCGGGAGTAGCGGCTGACAAGCACATCGCTTTCCTTCTCCCTCCTTCCTCTCCTCCGCCTGTCCCCACATTTTCCCGTTCGTTTCTCTGCTTCCTCGTCACCTTCGCTCTTTTCTTGGGATTTACGGCTCTCATCTTGACTGCTTGCATCATCTGGTATCGCAATCACATTTGGCGTCCCACTTCTGTTATCGTTTCGCAAGTTTTCGAAAATATCATACCACACATATGGACCTTCAACACCCTCCTTCTGAGAACGGACATGGCGTCTGTCACACACACTATCCTCGACATTACCCGCCTCAGGACCAGCACCACAATATTGTGGCTAACCCTACCCCCATATCGACGAGTTGGCCTCAGAGCATCCATGCTCGTGCGCTTCAACAGGCAAACCTTCTAACTCGTGCATCTCCCAATCAGAATCCCGTAGTTGGGCACGGGCAAGAAAGTTCGTCGTCTCAGCAAGGATTGACGTCCAGGGAGCCTACGAGGTCGGAGGTGGACCGCTCAGAAGTGTCGAAGGCGGAGTCAAGGGAAGATGTTTGGTCCCCGGAGGAAATTTTCAATTTTGAGCTGGCCGCTGCGGCTGCAGAGAGCGTTGAGGAACATGTCAACGATGTGACTGGGAATGGCGTGGGAGGTGGCTTGCAGTCTGCAATTCCAACACTTCGCCAGGATATAACGGGTTCCTGGCCTCACAGTGCAAACCATTCACTGGTTGGAGCGTGCCCCTCTCAGTTGGTAGAACACGAGGTCGCACTGAACGCCCAACTAGGCGGGCCTTCTTTCTCCACATTCGTTTCCCCTCCAGAACAATTCGAGACCGCTTCTCGAAATCTCTCTTCCCCCCGCCACTATCCAATTCCCCCCACTCCATCCCCTCATCTCCACAAAGCACGACGTACCATCTCCCGCTCTACGTTCCGTACACCATCAACTAGTCAAAGTTATGCTTCAGCTCCTTCTGCACATATCCCACAGATCTCGCAAGTTATACTGCCTTCCACCGTAGTGCCATCCAACTTGACGGTTACACCGACAACGACGAATAGTGTCCCTCCGGTGTCGCCTTCAACGACTCCTGGGCAGGATAGAATCGTCAAGTTAGATGAATTAACGGCCCCTTCCCAACTCCTTCAAAACAGTGCTTCGCTTTACGGTGTTACTCCTCAAGTGTCTGGCATGGGAGTTACACGAGGTCCTGGTCAAACTGATGGCACCGGGAGTCCATCCCGCCTGTTGGGCTGGACGCCCACTAACAGCACAAGTGTGGACGTTGTTCTGGGGCTGGGGTCTAAATTGGACGCATCGACAAGACATTCTGGGAGAAAGAGAAGGAAACTGACGCGCAAGGGGAGTCCAGCTGAGATTAGTGATTCAGATTTAGGCCTAGCGGCCGATAGCGACGCGGATAACGATTCTGACGTGTATCAGCCACCTGGGAGGTTAGTTTTCCGTCTCTTCAAACCAAAACCAATCTCACTTTGGTTGAACTAGGGAAAAAGGAGCCAGAGCGAGACGGTCTACAGCCGTAAATGGTAGTGAAGCTCTTGCTCTTCTTACTGCGCAGAAAAGAAACGCAGACGAGGAATACCCTGATAATGACGATGAAGAGTACTCCGGTCTCTCAACACGGAAGAGGAGAAACCTGGCGATCCCGCACCCGGTTCCAGTACCCAATTTGACGAAGAAGAGCCGTGGAAGGAAAGTCCCATATGTTATTCCATCCGTCGCCAATAGGTCCAGCCAGCCAGGTAGTAGCAGCAACAGTGGCGGCGAAGTCGGACAGGAGAGTGAAGTTGGGGAAGAAACTGGCGAACGGTCCTTTGTTTGCTCAGAATGTGGGAGGTGTTTTATTCGGGGTGAGCACTTGAAGAGACACGTGCGAAGCATTCATACCAATGACAAGCGTAAGTGGTCTCGTTTTAATGGACTTCCTGAGATGGTATACTTACACATCAACCTAGCATACCCTTGTCCGTATGATGGCTGCGAGAAGGCATTCAGCAGACGGGATAATCTCTCGCAGCATGTTCGAGTTCATCTACCTTGATCTTTCTTTCCGAGCAATGCTTTTGTGTTATATGATCCATGATTTACGTTGCTTTTAATATCTAGTTTAGTGCACTTGTATTGCACCTGTAATTCTCGTCATGATGTTTGATTTCGACTTGGCTACTGTACATGTTTGACGAGGGCCTATGAAACAAACAACGGGAACCGGCCGGCCTGAGACCGAGAACGAGTCAAAGCAAAAGTGTCAAAAAGAGCTAGCAGCAACATGTTTCGATCATGTGTCCTCGAGGTTATGAGCCTCGCGCGCTTCCTCTGCGCCATGCTGCTGTGTTTACACTTCTCGGTGTCATCCCTATGACCGGACGGGCGATCACTTTCAGTGCACTTCCAAAAATTCAACCGGGGTTGTGCTGCTTTGCTCATAGATCCAGGAGCACCAATACGTGTAGAAAGTAAGGTATGCATATCCCACCACATTAAAACTGAAGAAAATTAACCAAACGGATATCACAGAATTTGTAACCGGTCCAACAAAATTGCCCAATCCATGATCGTCATACCAAGCCTCAAAGCCTCTTCCTTAACTTGCTTGTTCCTAATCTCCTCCGTCAACCGTTTGATAGCGCGTAAGTGTTGTTCGCTCGTGATGCCCATCTTTGCAAGGATCGGTATTGTGTGCACTAACGAGGGTTCACAGGAGTCTAAGAAGCGTTCAAGAGACCCTTGAGGTGAGGAACCAATGCTGCTGATAGTAGAACCTGACGGAGTTTCACGGAAAAGTGGTGCAGATGCGCGTTGAATCCTATTGGGGGTCGAACTGCGTGGAGGTGTCGTCGTACCTAGACGCGCACCACCATTTGCTGGCGGTGTGGATGAATGGAGTGGTGGATCTGGATCACCAAATCGAACCTCACCACCCAAATTTTGGCCTGTCGGTGCTGGTCGAGGAGGTGATCGTGGAATACCAAGATATTGCTCACGGGTTGGGGACGTAGCGCGTGCAGGTCCTAATGGTCGATTCCAGGCCTGCGTCGAACTCTCGCCCTGTCCCTGCAGTACTGGCATCTTCCCCTCTTCCGGCTTGTGCTGCCTCGAGTTTGAAAGCTTTCGGGTCATGATATTACGTGGCTGTCAATCGCGTTAGGTTATTGAAGCATCGAGATCGTCCAGGACTCTTACCTCGGGTGTTGCGCTGCGGTCACCATTTATTCGGTTGCCAATCTCCATAATACGACTTGGAGTTGGACTCGACCCACTCGCAGTTCGTTGGGGTTGGCGACTTGCAGACCCTTGACGTACAAGACCGTTGCTACCGCCATTCGTGTTCCAACCAGGCACAACCGCCCTCGACGCCTTGTTGTCTGGGCTAACCTCGATAATCCTTACTTCCTCAACGCCCCGCCCATCGTCCTCGATCCTAATCTCCTCAACTTCTACCTGTTGAACCTCTTCGACATTTCCTAAGACCTCCTCGCCGCTGGCGTCAGCCATCCCAACCTCCATGTCCACGTTATCCATCTCTCCCATATCGTCCACCTCTGCTATCCCCGTATCGTCTGCCGCACCGACGTAATAAACGCTCATGCTTGGCTTCGCCTCTCGAGCAACCTGTTCCCTCCAAGTCGAGATAGTAACCGTTTTCTCTGGTGTATCTTCGACAACCCTACGATGTACGATCTCGTAGTTTTGACCGGCACGTGGGCTGATAACATTTTCGTTCTCAACCCCGATCTCTTGCAGGTTAGAGTCGAGTTGGGATGGGAGATGTGTATTCGGCGGTGGGTCGAGATTGGTATTGGCGTGGCTACTGCTTGAAGGGACAGAATGAAGGAGGGCCGTGCTGATATTGGTAGGAACGACGCCTCCCCATTCTCGCACGTCCGGTTGGAGTGGAGCTGCACCTCCTATGTCCGGATCGTCGAATCCGGCCATACGATCAGCTTGACGAACATGGTTTCGTTCCCTATCTGGAAGGCGTGGACTAGGAACGACTTGTGGTGGTGAAGGTTGGTTGCGATACGGCTGTTGTGTTTGATACAGCTGATCTCGTGCTCGTTCGCCAGACCCAGAACCTCCAGCTCCGACTCTGGTACCACTGCCACTACCAGATCCGCCTGTGGGACGAGCGTTATATTGCCCATACGTGGGGTATGTTTCGAACCCGGGGCTAACCTGGTCCTCAGCCTCCACCGGAATAGGGGGTAATGGTTGTTGCGTATGTGGGCGTGGTGGGCGCTTTTGGAAACTATCTGGCGTTGGCTGCTGGTCGCGGTCATATTCGTACGCGCGTTCTTTCCCGTTTGGAGTATTACGTTCTCCACCCCCGCTGCCGTTACCGCTCCCCTGTCTCCCGTGGCCATTGCGTCCTTTGCCTCCACCCGAACCAGACCCTGACCCAGAGCCGGTCATTGGAAGGGTACGATATTCCCCACTACCACCTGCAGCCTTTTCGACACCACCACCCGACCCATGTCCACCAGAACCATTTCCTCCTGAGCCTCCACCTCCGCTACCACCGCTATAACCGTACGGCGGGGAATTTCCTCGTTCTTGGTATTGGTTCTGGTACTGGTTGGCGTACTGTTGTTGATATGGGTAGTAAAGCGTCGAGTTTTGTTTGTGGAGTTGTCGTTGGTTTGGCTGCATATGGGGTGATACGTATCGGTCGTGTTGCCTCTGGGTCTGTTGCTGACGGTTTGGAATAGGACTCGATCCCCTCCCATGACCTTGGGCCTGGTTCTGGGTCTGAGGATAAAAATAATCCTCCCTCCGTGTCGTCTGCATCTGTGGTGCTATGGCCCTGTCGTAATTGCGTTCCCGATCCCTTCTTTGCATCTGCGGCTGCTGTTGTTTATTGGGCGACCTCCAGACCATATACTCCTCTCTGTCCCGGTCCCTCTCCCTCTCCGGAGCCCTTTCCCGCTTCTGATAAGACTGCTGTCTAGGATTTCCACCCCCAATTCCTCGTCCACTTGGCGTAACCCATTCCACCTCAATACGATCTTCGTTTCCCCCGCCACCGTCGTAATTTGGACCCTGGCCCGCTCCGTCACCACCCTTTGGAACGACTCCACCGCCTTCGTTACTACCTCCCAAGCCAGGAGGACTATTCGAATCCCCACGCATGTAAGTGTCGAAATCGTCCTCGATGATAGGACCTCGCGGGGCACCTCGTCGGATGATGGGCTTCCCGTTGGGGCCATAGCGATTTGACATGAAGTAGTACGTCCCCGTTTCTATCGTATCCAAGTTATTTGATGGCGTAAGGCGCCCAGGTTATGTGACGAATATATATCCAGGTGGTGCAGAATACCGTACCGAATTATGGGTATATATGAGAGGGTAGTAAACGATAAGCTAAGTCAGTAATTCCGGTTACACATTATCCATTTGCGACTTACCAACGTCCTGCTGCTGCTGCATTCGAGGCATGGTGTCCGTCTGGAGCTGGTTCTGCGGAATATGATGATTCAGATGCTGACTGAGCTGCTGAGTAGGGGGCGGTGGTGATGGGGATTTCTTCGTGTTGTCACCAAAATTCGGGTTGGTACCGTAAGTTGGATTTGCGTTCGTATTGCTCGTTAGAGTGACAGCGCTAGCTCCACCTCCGCCAGAACCAGGTACGCCGTGGCCAAGAGCGCTTGAAGGAGCGTAAGCTCCACCACCCAATGCACCAGGTGTTGTATTTGAAGAAATAGGGTAAGAGATTTCGCCGAAGGGAGAAGTGGCCGTTTCGGATGCTTTGCTCCCCTTACGTCTGCGGTTGGGGAAGTGGAAGCTTGGTAAGCAGAAAAGCATTCAAGGAGATAATTTAGAAGTGTCGAAGGGGGATGGGTAATGATAAAATATGGATCAAGCCCGCACGGACGAAGACGGAAGAGTGGGGAGGTGAAAGGTAAGTTGGACAACGGAAGAGAGGTGTGGATTGCGCGCGGAAGAGGTGTGGTGTGTTGCGGAAATGGGCTGGGTGATGGCTGGTCGTCTGGAAAAACGTGAAACGTGAACAAAAGGGCCGTGCTATCTGTCGTGATTCCGTAGGCCTATGGATGCCACCGCTCGAGGTAGGATAAACGAGAGCCACGACAATAGGATGAAGGTAAGAGCAAAGAGTCAAGCAGGAGACTGCTTCACGAAAGTCCTTCCTTTCGAAGACTTCCCGACCCCGGGCTCAAGTTCCTAAGGCCGACGACCTTATCCCGCTCAAACTATTAAATGAAAGGGTCAAGAGGTTCAACAAAACTACCAGGCCCAGTGAACAGGTTAGGCGATGGGCCTTCCAGCAGCTTCGAGTGGGTGCTTGATGACGTGGGGATGGAGATGGGGTGTCGACCAGAGCCACATAACCGTAAGAACGCCCACACGTTTAACACCACCCAGCATTTCATATCATTCATATTGTTTGCTCGGCCATCATCAGTTTGCATCACGGAGTGTGCGTGTTGCGGGTTTAACCCTCTTGTCTGCCGTACTTTCTCAGTGCAAATTCTTTTGCCTTGCCACAATCGAGGCCACGAGGCTGCAGCGTGTTGCATGCCGAGTCACGGAATTTGTTGTGATCGACCTTCAACCCCTCGGAAGTGCACTTTAGGCCTAAAACTCTGCTCGAATAGTAGGCTTAACACCATCACACAACTGATTCGGGCGGTTGAGGCTCAGTGCTCGATTTTTCGAAACAGCATTGTTCGAGTGCTAATCGTGAGTTATCGATTGATATCGGCACTGATGGGGGCGCTTACACGTGTCAGTGAGCTTATGTCCTCTTCGTTCAGTTTACTTGGGATGAGTGTACATACTGTAATGCTTTACTTCACTCAAGTCGCCTTGCACACGAGGTACAGATGGCCGATCGAAGAGGAATGGGGACGTATTTTAGCCCTGGACGCACGTTGATCGATGTTCAAGAGCCTTCTCAACATTGCTCTTCTCTCGATAGAGCTGATATTCTCTTATGAATTACGATATGTTTTGGGCTTCTATGGCCTGCGCAATTCTCCCATGGACCGAAGAATGATCGACTGGAAACTTGAAGGATGGAGGAAGGAAAAATATATTAGATTTACGGCCGATAAAGTAGGCCCATTAGCAGTATTGTGATACATAAATTGTCCAACTGGTCGATACGCCCAGGTCGTGAACCATACTTAAGGCTTGTGGTTGGGGAACTACGGCGATGGCGGGCCGCTCTGTTTGCTGCCCATCCTGCAGCCAAATAACTTACGTAATTGCATCAAATTTCAACACCGCCGACGAGCCCAGGTTCGAATCTCAATCATTCACTTGCAAATCACCAATTTCCATACGATGACGCTTGCCTATATCGTCGGTAT